TGCTTTAAAATAGAGGAATATATCTTTTTGGTTTGATACCCTTTTTGTTATACATTTTTTTTCAAATAGACATGAACAGTTTTATATACGCGAATACTTTTTGAATTACATGGATATTTTATCTTTAAAATACGTGATATTTGTGTAATTTACGTCAAAAAAAATATATATACAAATAAAATGTAGAAGAAGAAGAAAATTAGGCGCTGCTGGGCCTAGCGCTGTAGTGCTGTACCACGCCCCCATCGGAACTCCCATGGCGACTTCCCCCGCCGCTGCCGCCGCACTCACCCGCAACGAGGTCCGGCTCTCCTGCGAGGCCGCGCGCTGCGCCTCACCCGATGCTCTCGCCACGCCCGCCAAGGACGAGGCCCACGTCGCCGCCGACCTCACGAGGCTCCTAAGCGGGTCCTCCAATCTTGCTTCCGGAGACGGAGGAGGCGCCTCCGCGCTCGCCAAGATGCCCGACGTGCACGGGCCTTTTCGCGCGGCGGCAGGAGGCGAATGTGCTGGCCGAGCTCAACGCTTCCGTCAGGCTGGGGAAGTGGGTTTCAGATTGGGAAGGAAAGTGTCCTAAATTGGAGTCCTTGTGTAGAAAGTGAAGGAAGCCATGGAGAGCAGTGAAGTAAGCTCCCAAGGTAGTATGAAATGAATTAATGAACCATTATATTGCACACGGCGGTGTTTGTTTCTTATGTTGAGTAGATAGAATTCAGAAGCATCATCTTGAATAAATAGCAAGAGTCAATTCTCTCTATGTCTGAATGTTTATCCTTGCAACTGTCCTTCTAGGGAACAACCTAGCTGGTGAAGACTCTAAGTTGGTATACAACGACCTTGCTGATCAGGTACAAACAGTTTCAATGTCCTTTTATAACTAATTAATGTTTGTGGAAGGGTTTGATTTCCAAGGAAATCTCTATTTCTGCTTGATTTATCATGTGCTAGTTCTGTATATGGATTGTTATCCGGAAAAGGTTAATTGTACAATTGTTAGTATTTGCAGCATTCAGCAACTCAGTAAATACTTTATTGCATTTATATGCATTCCTCTTTTTACTGCATTTATATACATTCCTCGATGTTTGAACTTTGAAGTCTGATCATCAAGTAACCTGCAGGTTGCTTTGCTCTCTGCAGTACCATCTGACTGTTCCATTTGCCTCATATCTTGCCATGCATGAACAACATAAGTGCATTGAGGAGGTACCAGATTGCAAAAGTATACAGGAGGGATAACACTTCAAAGGGAAGGTACCGAGAATACTACCAGTGTGGCTCTCACATTGCTGGAGCCAATGGAACCAGAATTTGAGGTCATCAAATTTTTGACTGAGTTACTGGATAAGCTACATATTGGCATGTACTATGAGATAAAACTAAACCACAGGAAGTTGCTTGATGCTAGAGAGCAGAGTAACCTTGGTGGCCATACGGTCTGTGCCACCATCGGTGCCGATTACATACATACATAGGCTGGCTGTGGCTGCTTCAGCCTTCATCCCAGTATTCGTCTCCTGAGCAGTAAGTATGCAGTTGCTCGATGAAGATCTGACCACAGGAGCCAAGCGTTTTTCTTCATAAACAAAGAGTAAAAATGTCAATATCTTGAGGTTCCGTCCCTGAGCTATAAGCCTGTGGAGACACTCTCGCAGCTTGATCTAAACTAAAGCAGCAGCAATGACAGCCATCAAATTTCCAACCTCTCTAGTAAATTTTGAGAGTCCAGAAAACAGAGGAAAAGCAGAGGAAGCTAACTACAGGCAAATGTTCAGACTTCAGAATTATCGGCATCATCGTCAAGGGGTCTCCTCTTCTAGGTAAGCTAACTACAGCTCAGCTACATATCAGCGTGAAGAATTTAGCCTCGCTTAAGAAAACAGAGCACAGGAAGCACTGCACATCAAGTAATTAAGATTCCAGAATTTATCCCAAACAAGCACTAGGATATTCTTGTGCTAAATTTGTGAGAAATAATACTCCGGAGAAGCCAGTTAAGTTGACTAGGACCGAAATAACCAAATACATGTCCGACAACAAATAGAGTAAACTTATTTATTACACCAGGAAGTCACCATATTTCCTGGAAAGAAAATCGTTTGCTCGGCTAATGACAAAAGTTTTTAGAATTCACCAACATTTTCTAATTCATGAACATTTTATTAATTCACAAACATTTTTAAAATTCAATTAAAAATCGTTCTCACGAACATTTTTTGGACTCCTGAACATCAATGTGTATTTTAAAAATGTTCAACATGTATTTTAAACGTTCATTGTGTATATAAAAAGGTTAGATCGCCGGCGCGGATGCTGCAGCAACGGCGGCCTCGTCGTCGCGGGTGAGTGTGGCACCGAGTTCTTGTTGAACGATGTAAACGTATTTTCAAGTAATAAAATGCGCCATGATGGCATTTCTCAAATTTCTTTTTTCGCTTTTGTCAAAAACTTTTATATTTGATAGCAAAGAAGCAGGTAGAATGTTCAAGTAGTTTTGATAATAAAAAAAATCATGCTATTTGAAATTTAGAAAAAAAATGTTCATGTACTTAAAAACTATAAATGTTTGCGTATCTAAAGAAATGTTTGCGCTGGGGGTTGTCGGGTGCTTCTAGGTGTTGGCCGGCGGCCCCTGCTGAATTCGCGCGAGCACACATGGCGCTGGGCCGCGGGCGCGTCGCCCTTCCGGAGCAGAGTTGCGTGAGAAAGATGCCGGCGGCCGGTGGCGCGGAGGTCGCCCGGAGCCGGAGCCATACGTTCCCAGAGCTGGAGGTGGGACACCATCGCTGCTTGATCTGTAAGTGTTGGATCTGTAGCTAGAAGCTAGGGTTCTTGATTCATGCTGCTATTGAGATTCAGGCGGGGTGGTCTTAGTGCGGAGTACTTCTTGCTCCAACAAAAGGATTGCACCAGCCATTGGCAGTGTCTCCCTCCGTCCTCTGCTCTGCTCAGTAGGAGGAAGATGGAGTCGCTGGAGCAGAGCAGTCGCATTTTTTTCCTTCTGTCAGACATCCACTTTCTTTTCTTTTAATATATAATATGCACACTCGTGCATATTCGAGAAAAAAAGACATCCACTTTCTTAGTTCAGAGATAGGAATGTATAAGCGGTTGCTGATCTCTCCGTGCATGATTTATTCTGGATAGATGATTGACAACATTGATTGCTTAGTCCATTCGGAAACCAAAAAAAAATAAACTCTGCAAAATGTCAGCAACATACAAATAGATGATCCTGTAACTGTAACTGAATAAAGGATCATGGTAAAGTTCTATGAAATCATTTGGACCATCAGTGTAATCTATATCTTCTGTCTCATGATCATCATCATTAGTTGAGCTGCGAAGTTTACCTGCCAGAGATCCCTTGATGACCATGCTGCTAATTCTGTCTGTCTCTTGAGCTGTAGCGCTTTCCTCTGCTTTTGCTCTGATTCTCAACTCTGAATACTTGCCCGTAGCTTAAGGTTTCAGGCGTCAGGTCAACTTTGGAGCAGACTACGGCATACCATTTCCAAACAGTTGACTGAAGATCATCTTATACACCATAACAATGTGTTAAATGCCACAACTCACAAGAAATGCAGCTAATGGAGTGTAGACCACAAAATAGACAATGGCACTATACATAGTTATCCTGAAGCTTGGCAATGAAGACTGAACAGAAAGGCCTAAGTGGATACAGGCAGAGGCAGATCTTGTCTGAGATCTTTGTAGAAGCCGAACAATACTAAGGGAACAACTAATTACCTAATCCGAACTTTCTTATAGCAACCAAAATGCAAAGCATGTAAATGCAGCAGGAAAGAAATACATCAGGACAGGTGCATTTGAACAGTACAGAAAAATCTTGCCATATCTTTGGTTATTTTCTCCTTAATACAGAAGACATGATTGAAATGAGTTGAGGGATAAGGGATTCAGACTTCAGGTATGATATTCAGGGGTACGGTGGAGATGTTAGTGAAGATACAGTCCATAACTAAAGGCATGAGATGGAAGAGCCGTCATAAGCGATCATGAATCTGGGCCATTCAATCCTGAGAAGATCATTGTTGCTGTCTTACTGGTCCGGAGAACCTGCTCAAAAGCAGTAGCGATATCTACATCTGCCCATTTCTCTTAGCGACAGGATATATGTATATAGGAGGCAATTTGAACTATTTACAGTAGTTGGGATAGTAGTGTCACCACCAATTTGTGGTCAGGACTCCGGACTCGCTAGATTCATTGCATGCTTGTGAGTCTTGTGACACATTGCAACTGTACGTGTAAGATGAAATGCACACAAACGTTTCGAGAAGATATTAAATCATACTCAGCTGAGTCAGTAAGCTATAATAGATGTGCTGCTTTCCAAATTGTTTCTTATTCAGAGTTTGAACAATGTTCAGAAGAAAGAAAAGGGCAAGCTAGAGACTCAACTTGATGTTCAAACGTAACCGACGGTAACGTGCTACGGTACAGATAAAGTACATTTAAAGTTGGTGATGAAAATGAAGATCATCAGAATGCCGTGGAAAGCATCCAAACTTTTTTGGAATCCAAATTGCAACAAAAATTAACTTCTAGCAACTAAAATGTCCGGATGCTTGTTCAGGCTGTTCCACCTGAAATTCATTGATGTCTTCTCTTTTTGTAGTTGATTGATGCTTCCAGGGAATTCAGACATGAGAAGGCCCTTCCAGCTCGCAGCACTGCAAGGAAAAATGAACAGAAACATGGTGTCAGGCAAACAAACCCCACGAATATGACCATCATGAGTTCATATCTAAGACCGAAACAGTGAAAAAAAATATGACATAAACAATAAAATTTCATATTGAAGCAGAGTATCATTACCAACTCAGAAGCGGATAACACAATCTCTACAAAAGCATATCATGGGGCAAATTGGATAAAGACAAAATATACCATGGAAATACAAGGTATTGTTCATAATAGAAAAGATCATACCATGGTAATTATGCATGCAGCCAGTCATTCTTCAGTGTACTGACTCAGCAACCCATCACAGCGCAGTACAAAAGACGCCTCTCACTGGTAAATTGCCGTCTTGAAAGAAAATTCCACACAGGCGGTTGCTCATCCGGGGTCCATGAATGAAGCTCAACCACCTTTTCATCAGTAGAATTGTTTGAAGGCCCAATAACAATCAGCCGGTCACCACATGCTCGGAAACCAATGTCCCAGCCATCTTTGTACATAGACTGTACAGGCAATTTTCCAAGAGTGATCCACTTGTTGTCCATCTTATCATACTGCTTCAAATCATTCTCTATGTAATCAGCAGCATAAAGCTCATTGTTGACAGCTGCAAGGAGCAGAGAAGCTCCCTGGCTTGCCTGGTTGAGCCCCTGAGACATGTTGTCTATGACCCTCCATGACTGCCGGCTCAAGTCATACTCCTCACCGCATGTCAATGCCTCTTGGTTATCGGTAATACCACCGATCACATAGAACTTGCTGTCCATGAACGCACCAGAGCATCCGGACCTAGCCCTCTTCATGCTGGGAAGGGTTGTCCAAGTATGCGTCTCCGAGTCATACATCTCTGCGGAGCTCAATTCCCTTCCTGAAGAATCCTTACCTCCCGCGACATACACCTTTTCGCCGACACTTGCTGACCCAAACGTGAACCGCGGCCTGTTCATCACCTCAGGAAGCCGTGTCCATGAATTGGTAAGGATGCTATATGTCAAGCCAACCCTTCCACCCCCAAACGCCAGCAGCTCGGTTCCTACAGCGATCATCTCTGCTAATAAGAATTGAGCTGGTGGCATCTTGGGCACTTGGATCCAGCGCCCAGTGGATGGGTCAAAAGCGTCCCACTTGTGGGAATTATTACCGCAAGAGAGGTAGAGCCAGTGCTCGGCCACCCCATTCTTGCGACGCAGGCGGTAGATGTCCCCGTTGCGAACCACCGAATTGAAGTCACGGTTGAGGGAGGCGATGGCGCCATATTCCCACCTGGAGAGGCGGTGGAGGCAATAGATGAAGAGGTCACGACCTATCACACCAATGGTATTGCTCCATGAGACCACCTCTCCACCACCATGGGAACCAGAATCCACTAATTGGACATGGATTATAGGATTGCTCGGATGATTGCTAACTATCCCGCTCAATGAGACATACTTTAGATCACCAGCTGCACCCCCGAATTTTGCGGAGACCTCTCTAAGGCCTGTCATATGCTCAATGCTGATCAATGCAGTACCATGCCGATATTGTTTCCACTGGTCACTGTCTGAATAAAGATAAAGTTGTTGGTCCATTTGGGGGATGGCGTCGAAAACGAGCCTAAGCTTCCAGAGATTAGGCATTGCTCCCGCCTCAAATTTTAGCCAAGCTATTCCACTCATGAACCTCAGCTTCAAGTACTTGAGAGCTGTGAATCCAGCTGCATTGTCAAAGATAATCTTCATGCTGGGCTCCGTCTCCACATACAACGACAGAGCAGTGAGAGCAGGCAACTGTTTAAGAATATCAGTATTATCTATCGACAGTTCACGCACAGCAATCTTCAGAATGGATAGGTTACCTAGTTGTTTCAACCACACATGCAGCCAAGAAAATATGACGGGTTTGTGCGGTGAGAGCTCAAATCTCTGGAGATGGCAGGGAGTTTTGACGAAATACCAGAAAACACTTGCTTCTGAAGCGTCACCATACCTAACCGAGGACCCATGAGCCACCACTTTTACATTTTTCAGGCTTCCATGTTCACATATAAAAGAATCCAGAGCTTGCATGCTTCTCTTCAGATGGTAGGAATTAGAACAAGGCGGCGTAGAAATATAAAGATCCTGCAGATGGTTCAACATGCCAAGGCTCCCAGATGGATTGACAGACCAATCCAGCAGATTCGAATGAGCAGGAAGACTGAGGTGCAACAATTGTGGGAGATATATAATATCCCATGGAACATGAGTGCATGTTGTTGTATCCATCATATCCAGTGTTTCCAGACATTGCAGCCCTCTCATACGGCTTGGCAGTTTTATGCAGACATCACAAGCAATCTTCAAATATATCAGATGGAACAGTTCTGATATCCCAGTGAGGTCTATGGCCAGGTCTTGGCTGCCATGATGATGACCAGACAATTGAAGGTTTAGCACACGAACAAGCTTGAACTCTCCAATACAAGGCATACACTCTGATACTCCAAAAAACCCAAGTGACCGCACTTGTGACTTTCTGATGTTTGCTGGTATCTTGGCATATTTTGCATCACCGGGTTGGAGAGATAGTCGATGGACCTTATGAGAAAATGACAAAATCTTGCGATTGTAATCTACTACCACAACGAAATTCTCTTCCGCAGACTTGTGTACAATAAGATCATGCACCACAGAGTGAACTGTGCAGGACACCACCTCATTGTTGAAGTTGATAGACATAGGCTTGATGAATCTTCTATCAACAAGTTCATCAAAATACATCCCTGCAACTTGCTCTGTGTCTTGCCCTTCTCTTGCATAAATAAACCTCTCAGCTACCCATTGCCGAACGAGATCATGTTTGAAGATTATGGAGCCCTCTGGATACATTCTAAGATGGAGGAGGCAAGTCTTGAGGTAGTGAGGGAGGCTGTTGTAGCTGAGGTTTAGTATTTGTCTCGTTCTTTCTGAAGTGGAATTTGATGCCAAACAGGAGATTAACGAATCATGTATGCGTGTGAATAAATCCATTGATAAGGAAGGCTGGTTTGCTAACAGACTAGCTATGCTATTGGTCGCTACAGGCAAACCACCACATATTTCTGCAATTTCGCTTGAAACTTGTTTAAATTCTTCGGGACAGTCACTTTCAGAACCAAAAAGCATGCCAAAGAATAGCTTCCTTGAGTGATCATGATCCAAAGGTTTCATCTCAAAAACTTGTTCTGGGTCATCGCAGCAACATGCTAATGCAACATCTTCAATCTGTGTCGTTGTTATTATTCTGCTGCCTTGACAACCCTTGGGAAAAACCTGATTAATAACATCCCATGATGATGTATCCCATAAATCATCAACTACAATCAGATACCTGCATGTCAAGAATGCACGCATGTCACATTTATGTGTCAAGCTAACAGTAACAACACTTAGTTATGCTAAAAAAATAATTTTAGTCCAAACATGTCCAGGACTTATGGTATTAACCTTAATTTAAATGTTACTGCCAGCATCAAGTTAGTGCTGACTTGAAGATTAAAACTAATGTCCGTTCACTTGACAGACATGTACTGAAGCTTTTCTAGCTCACTGTAAATCTTACTACCAAGCTTTTTTAGCTCACGGTAAAGCTTGTCTAAGAAACATCTTTTCATAAATTGACTGGAAAACAAAAGAGCAACCTGTAGGGATTCTGGACCATGTGGAAAATAAGTACTACATACTATGCTATACAACTAGTACGTACTATTTGCATGTGGAAAATAAGTACCTCTTGCCATGTAGGTAATTCCTTATATTTTCAGCAGTAACGCGAAGTTCAGCGGAAGCGTCTTGGCTTGCTTGGGGCTGCTTCCGCTTGATTTGTGATAGTATGTCGTGGAAAAGGGTCTTTATATCAGGCTTTTTGGACACCCGGATGAAAGCCCGACAATGGAATTGCTTCCCAATTTTATTGTACAACACTTTGGCAAGCATTGTTTTACCAAGACATCCAGATCCGTGAATAGACACCACCTTGAACTGCTGATTCTCATCATTAGCCAGCTGGTAGTTGATAAAGTTGCTCATCCGACCATCAATTACTAGGCCGGAACAAGTTTTCTCACATGGCGGTGGCGGCATTGGCATCATAGGCCCAATGGCCAAAAATCTACTTGCCGCCAAGGTGTTACAACAGTGGCCCAGGTACCTCTCGTACCGCCGAACCATCTCCTTAGCATAGATCCTGAATTTTGATACCTTTTCAACCACTTGCTGGTACCACTTGAGCCTCCTAGGAGCACGAATGACATTAACACGAATGGTTTTGGAGATAACATGTCCTGACACATCAGGACCTGCATATTCAATCAGTTTCTGCCACTTGAGCCTCTTGGGAATCTTAACATGAGTCGTCTTGTGGTCAGATCTGTAGCCAAGAGACCCAGGGGGCACAAAGTTGTCAATACAATCTAGGATGTCATAAGATAACTCATGTGCCTCTTTCATCCAGCACTTGGCTTCCAGGGGAGGGTCCTCCACCTCTAATAGATCTTCAAGGTTTGCGCCTATTTCTTCAAGATCATCTTTGAGAAGTTGCAACCTATCATTGACCCCCTTGGTCAGCTTGCATCCATGAGGACCTAGCATCATGTCAAGCTTCTTAACAAGGGGTCTCATGACACCCAGAGAAACACTGATAGTGGCATCCAACTTTCTGCCTCTACCTCCCACTGAAACATCTGAAAAGTAATATAGACGAGAAAGAACGATTTAATTTACACAATGAACGTTGCATGTGATACACACCTAAAAGTACATGTGACACTCGCATCTATTTATATTCACGCAACTGACATACAAAAAAGCCAAATTATATAGATATTGTACTTTGTACTTCACTCACCATATCCACCAACACATTTAAATTGCGTAATAAAAAAATTGCTTATAGACATATTTTTATAAAGGATGAACTTTATTGACTCAAAATGAAGCATCGGATATACAAGTATACAATAAGCACACGCACCCGTCTTTTGCATGACTAGTATGCACACAACCAACACTAACACAAACAAAAAATCACACTAGCAAAGAGAAAGTTCATAAAAGACAGAAGCTCAGCCTAGTTTATTCAACCAATTTGGCTGAAGATCCACTCATAGACCCTGTGAATGAGCTATGTAATCTTGTGTCTGACCCGTTGCGGTCGTCCTTTAGTTTTAGTTTTAGTTTTGTCTGATAGTCGATGAATTGAAATTGTTTTAACATTTAATAAATTTGGTTGTATGCATCTTGTAATGCAGAGGCCGGGGTACTCCCCTTTTCAAAAAAAAAAAAACACTTCAAAATATAAGGGCATAAAATTTGTGATTGCTTACCTGACTTGCACACATTGCTATGTCATTGTGATGTCCAGTCGGGTCTCATCTAGTGTTATTATGTCTTTGCGGCCATCCTCCTGAACGGTTGTCCCCGACTCTCTCCCGACCACGACCGCG